TTCTCTGGACCACCTCACTTTTGCTTCTTCTGTGTGAAATGCCACATAGCCTTCAAGACCCAGGTTATGTTTCATCTCTAAATGAAGGCTTCGAACCCCCTAAGTGCCATGCTCCCCGCTCCATCCCTTTCACAACTGAGTTTTCACAGCATTTTTGCTCACATTTCTGCCAGCGCTACCCATCAGGCCAAAATTACATTAGACTTAGGTCATGTTTGTTTTCCAAACTAACCTCGTGCCTCAGGTTTGACTGAGTCTGGGTTTCCTCTGTCTAGCATGGTTCCTGTGTCCTTCCCAGCCACGAGTCAATCCCGAATCACAGCGACCTCACAGGACTAAGTGAACGGCCTCTGTGGGTTCCTGAGACTGTACATCTTTATCGGAGTAGACAGCCTCATCTTTCTTCCACAGAGAAGCTGATGGGTTTGAACTGTTGACCACCATGTCACCAGCGCTTCCCCGACTCCCTAGCAGTGTTCAGTAACTGTGTGCCAAGTGAATGACATCTAAACAAGTCAGAATCAGCAAGAAGTCTTAAAAACAGTAGTAGGTTTTGTTGACAGATTTTCTGTTTCTTTCTCTCTCTTTTTCAATGCTATTTCTTGGAAGGGTAAAATTCATGATAGCACCTTGGCATCTGGAAAATTCTGAAATGGTCTACAATTGATGCTAGAATTCTGGGACTTGACAGAAACAAAATCTGGTTCAGAGTCTCGAGGAAATCTCTTTCTTCCACAACATCTCCTCACCTTCTCCTCCAGGGTATAAATACAAGTTTTGGGTGTACAGGACCAAGAACCCCTCTGGCCATGTGTGTGTGGGGAAAAGGCCCCTCCCAGGTAATTGGATGTTTTAAAAAAGAAAGAAAGAAAATCTCTTTTAGACAGGCACGGAGTTTTGGCTGAAGATCAGCCGCATACCTAGTCTAAGCTGTATTTGGGTATAGCCCTAATAATTACAGTTACCCTTTAGAGAAAGAGCCCAAGAGGGTTACCTGGCGATTTTTTCCAGATGTAAGCAGGTATGTGAGAAGCGCAGTAATGAAGATGTAAACCGGATGAGGCCATTTTGTGCCCCCCAGTCTTCTCTGCAATCGCTCCGATCAATGCTCGGAGATGATCCCCAGCGATCACACGGATGATGCAACGCAGCCATCTAACAAACACCAGATGCCTGACGAGCCTTGTAAGCGGTAGTGTCAAAGAGAAGGGGGAGGGGGCAAACCCCAACATTGAATGCCTTTGCAGCTATCAATCTGTCATGGATTGTGATCAAACAGGAACCCTAACAGAACCCAATGCTGCCGGGTCAGTTCCGACTCACAGTGCCCCAGAAGGTCAGAGAAGGGTCCCCTAGAGTCCCCAAGGCTAGAATCTCCACAGAAACAGGCAGCTCTTTCTCTGGCAGAGTGGTGGGTGGCCTTGGACTGCAGACCGTTTGGGTTAGCGGCTGAGCACTTAACAATTGTGCCACCAGGGTTTCTTTCCGACTGAGTGACAGTGATCAGGCCACCATGCCCTCTCCGCCTTGGGCACTACGTCTTTCTCGCTGAGGAAAAATGAACTAGACCAACTATGCCCCAAACCGATTAGTTTGGTTAAATACATCTTGGCATTTCCTCTAGCCTCCCTTTTCTCCAGCACACATGCAGAATTGGGTGTACGGTGCCTCTTCGGTGGTACCTAGGAATCATGAGCAGCATACTAAAGTGAGTCACTAAAGGAATAGGCAGGGGAGGAGGAGGAGAAAGAAACTACCGCCGAATTGTAAAAGCTCCAGGGGGACGTGATGAGTTAGTGGTTGCACTGCAGAATAGACTGTGGAAAGGCAAGCTACAATTATTTTTACATAAGCAGGGAAGATATACACCCATTTTCCTCCAGTGTCAAAGCTTTCTGCAACTAAACACTACCCAAACAGTCATTGGAGGCAGTGTCGTGGGCAGGAGAGAGCACCGTGTTTAAAGTTCTATGAACTTGGGATTTCCATTGGAGTACGGCCATACTTGGCCAAACAATGGGGTTGCTGTGCAACTTGTTTCAGCTATTCTGGGCTTTAGTGCCATCATCCATAAACTGGGAAAAATACTTGTTGCTCATTATGTGTAATGGATGGCCCGAGTGCCTGGTTTACAGAGGTTACTGAAAACATGAGAAGGAGTGACGCTTTGGAATTGTAGTGTTGGCCAAGGAAGTTGAAAATACTGTGGACTGACTGCCCGAAGAACAAACAAATCTCTCTTGGAAGAACTATAACCAGAATGATCCTTAGAAGTAAGAATGGCGAGACTCGCTCTTCCAGCCTTTGACCATGCTATGAGGAGACGTCAGTGCCTGGAAAAAGACATCATGTTTGGTAAAGCAGAAAGTCAACGAATAAGAGGATGACCGTCGATGAGATGGACTGAAACAGCAGCTGCAACAATGGGCTAAAACAAGTGTGAAGACAATGCAGGACAGGGCAGTGTTTCATTCTATGGTACAGTGTTGCCATCAGTCGGGACGGAGTTGATGGCGCCTAATGACAACAGAAATGACAATACTTACTACCATTAAGAAGAGTCCAACAGTGGGAACCAGAGGTCTTGGCAGTCGTTTTAGACGACCATATTTTGACATTCATGACTTGTGACTTTCCCTTGGGCTATTCCAGTATCAGTTACCCTCCAACTCAAGGTAACCCCCAGTGTGCCAAAGAGAGCGGTGCCCCACAGTTGTTCAATCGGTTTTTTGGCTGGCCTTGAACCCCCGGCTTTGGTTACCCACTGGGCACCTTCAGCTTCTGTACGACTCAGGGATTCCTTTCCAATACACACAGCCTCCTTTTTCTTGCTCTCTAGTTACTGACATTTTTTATCAGAGTATCCTTCCACAGTTTTACCCCATCAGTACAGTGCTGAGCTCGGTACTCAGATTACTCAGTACTAATTACCTCACTGCTTGTTCCGGACAATGTCCGATTCTTTTGCTGTGATAAGATGGGTGAGTGTGTGCTTGTTGAGAGTAATGGTTTCGGGGTGGGGGGGGCGGGGGTGTGGACACTTTGAGGAGAATCAAAAATAGCGAAGTGAGCAGTTTGCAGAAGGCCGGAGATGGCAGTGGAAGTCCAGAATCTGTTTGCTGGGTCTCCGCTAGGATTAACTCTTTGACTACAGTCGGGGGATGCAAACAGCCTTGCCATCAGACAGCCAAAAATTATTACAAAGGTATCCGAGGCCAAAACCAACCTGTGACTTTCAAAACAAAAACAAACCCCTCTCTGTCAGTGTGTTAGTCTGGGTACTTTAGAGAAACAAATCCACAGAACTCAAGTTTAAGAGAGAGTTTTACATAAAGGTTAAGTGCGCATCAAGAAAACAGCCCAACCCAGTGCTGCCCAAGCCCACAAGTCCAACATTCACCCATTAACCCACATGTCCAACGCCAATCCACAAAGTCCTCCTCCATCTCACAAAACAGACGCAATGATGCCGACTGCATGTAGATGGTATATACTTGAGTGTAAGCCAACCCGAATATCAGCCGAGGCACCTAATTTTACCAGAAAAGCTGCATTAAAAATGTGCTGAAAAACTCTGCTTATAAACAAGTATAGAGACTAACTGGATCAATAATTACCTAGGGGCATGGCAGGGGAGGTTAGGGAGAATAAGGAGCTAATAGCGAGTACATGAAGACAATGTGAAATTAACTGTGGTAGTGATTGCACAACTCTTCTTAATATGATTGGACAATTAAATTGATATGTGAATTATAAGATATGAGTTTTTTGAAATGTGAATTATATGCCAATAAACTATTTTAAAAAGAAAACGTTTAAAAAATTAAACACCTATACATCAATTAATATTATACTGAGGTGACTTTTACATTAAATCACCTAGGAGTAACGAGGGACTCCTGCCATATTTTATTAGAGACCAATTGTTAACAATATTTTTCCCTTTAAATTCTTTAATAGAAGTTTAGAGATCCACCAATACATTTGATTTATGGTGTTGGTAAAGAACACTGAAAGTACCATGGCCTGCCAAAAACGACAAACAAATCTGTCTTCTAAGACAGTCAGCCAGAGTGCTCCCTGGAGGCAAAAATGATGAGATTTCAGCTCAAGTACTTTGGCCATGTTGTCGGGAGTGGCCAGTCTCTGAGAAGCACATCATGCTTGGTAAAGTGACGGGGTATGGAAAAAGGGAGCCCTTCAACAAGGGGGACCCACACAGACGCCACAACCACGGGCTCAAGCACAGGAGCCGCTGTGAGGATGGTGCGGGCCCAGCGAGGCTTCGTTCTTCTGTGCACAGGCGCTACGGGCTGGAAACAGTTCACAGCCACTTAACAACAGGGATCCACATGGTACCGTTCCTGCCTTGATATCTAGGTCGTTATCATGAAGGAATTCCCCCCAATCCGACTTTAAACAAAAACAAACACAAGCTGCCCATTCGACTGTGGTAAAGATCAAGAATTCTATAAACGGTTCTCTTTTCTCCATCCCCAGGGACCACTGAGTGAGCGTTGTCTCACCCTACTTCCAGACTGCCGCATCTCTGCCAGCAGGGGAAGGAGCCGACAGGGCCGTCGGTGCCCAATGCAAGCAGGCAATGCGTGGATTTGCGTGAACCATGAGCCATGTCAAAGGAATCCGAGGAGAACATATTTTCATAAAGAAACTTTATTGCATCATTTCTGTATACAATAGATATAGGAAAAGGGCTTTGGTACTGAAAATTTCATGTCAGTTTTCAAAAGTTTTGAACTGTTTGGAGAAAAATCATTATAAAGGTATCTAAGGCCAAACCAATGTGTGACTTTCAAAACAAATGATAATCCCTTTCACCCCATCTAAAGCAAGGCATTTTATAATCGATATAGAGGCTTTCAGTAACTACATCAACTGTATTTCAAGAGTTAAAGGTATCTCAGAAGTGAACGGTTTACACAGAGAGAAATGCTAAGACAGTATGTACAGCGGCGTCCCTTCTTGTGCATGACTGTGCGTAAACGTTCACTCCACAGAACCCCACGTCTTCTCACGGCACAGAAAGGAATCCATCGTGCCTTCCTGTGAGATGGCGTGACTGCCGCAGATCACATACACCTCACCATATTGACTCAGTTCATTGCACTCTATATCCTGCACAAATAAATTTAGTGCTCAACAGCTGGCATTATTGCTCACTGACGTTTTAGCAATATATTTCTTTAACCTAAGACAGAAAGAGAGTGAAATTTGATACCACTTAAAACCCAAAAGCAATCTGGAATTAAACCACATGCATACACTCCTCGATTCCCACGCACTCCCCCCCCCCTCGGTGGATATTGCATTTTCTCACAGTTGAAGGGAAGGAGGACTGGCTTTCCTTGGAACAAGGACTTGGAAAAACAGTGCTTTGAGGGGACTGTGAAGTCCCACTTTAGACATGAAGGGATAATGACAATGGCGCAATCTGTGAGGAGAGAAGGTAGAAGGCCCTCATTGATCCCCCTTAATCGAGCAGACCCCAGGGAGGCCACGGCACACAGCCAGAGCAGTGGGGGCGGTTCTGCACGGAGCCCAGGAGAGGCAGCAAAGCTCTCTGTGAGACCTGACTCTTTGCTTGCCCCCGGGAGGACCCTGGAGTTTCTGTGAAATTCGGGGCTCCCTCCATGCCCCTTGGCAAGGGGGAAGAGGGGAAAAGGGTTTTCTAGGCTGACCCTGAGGCCTCAGTGGGCTGGCTGCTCAATTTGACACCCTAGTGCCCCTGGGTCTGACAGCCAAAGAGGAGTGGCAATTAGAAAGGTGGAGTGCAGGTGACAGTGAAGAGCCATCAGGAAGCCAGGGCCGGGGCCTGACGGAAAGGCGTTGTAGAGTCGTGGCAGAATGTGGGCATGGTCACATTGACATTTTGATTTGTTGCAACGTGCCTTTTTAGTTTCTCTCGTTTTCTTGTTCCCTTCAAAATTGGCTGGGCACTTTCTTATTTCTGTCGATTTGTGTTCACCAAGAAGGGTGTCAGCTTTTCACGAGTTTTCAAAGGCTAACCAAAAACAGCTCTTAAAAACAAAACCGAACTACATTTCAGAATTCGCATTCAAGGCCACGGACTCAATCTATCCTTTACAAAGCAGACCTCCACACGTGGCTGCAGCCACATCACTTTAGCTCAGCGCAAAGCAACACCTGCAAGAACCTCGCGGATCACACACACCAGCCGGCATCCACTCTACTGGACTCACCGGTGTCAGCAACTGAGGGCAGCATCTCCGACCGAGGAAAGCCAGTCATACAACTGCAAAGAAAAGTTTCTGGCTTCTGGCCCAACTGTTTCCACACCAATCAGCTAAGACAACGTCCTCTCTGCTTCTTCCTCGGAGCCAGTGAGAACCAGAGCAGTTGAATGTTACACTACTGATCTGAAGTGCAAAAGTAACACCATACATTTATGGCCCTGAGAGTGCCCATACATTTTACAAATATTTTGAGTCTCCCATTTTATACATGGAGAGATAGGCACAGAGAAGGTCAATGGCTTGCCCCTGGTCATAAAGCAAATTAATGTCAAGGGTGAGACTTGCGCTCTGGGTTCTTTCTATTTTAATCCCCAACATCTTTCAAAGGGGCACCCAAAGCTCTGAGCTTAAGGTGGCTACCCCATTGGGGCTCTGTGGGTTGTTTGCACTCTCTCTTCAGATTTTCGGCCTAAAGCTGGCATTTCAGTACCCAGGACTTCCTCGTTGGTCTTCCCTGCTCTCTATCATTTCCTGCTTCCTTGAGGAAGTGTCTGGTCTCTAAAGTTCTCTTGTGCAACGTGGCACCCGCCAAAGCGCACTTCCGCTGCGGCAGGCCTTGGGTGCAGAGGGGAAGGCTGATGAAAGAGCCGCGGCAGGCGTGCTTCTTTGTGGACTCTGGACAAGAGGGGGCTCAGCATTTTACAGTTGTCTTACGATCTAGGGTTTTCGCTGGAAAATAAAATAAAATAAAGGCCTAACTGTGAGGTAATGTTTACTTCTCTGCCACAACATTCAGGGTGCCCTCTCAGGTCTGGCAACAATTTAACATAAGGAAAGATTTTAGACCTTCACACCCTTTTAGTGAGAATAAACCACCTTAGCTAAAACTTTCCACAAGGTTGGGGAGCCTCACAAGCCCTCGCTCCATCCTGTGTAAAGGCCTGAACATGTGCAGGGCAGGTCTGCGTGCCCTTGACTCCGTAGGAGTGGCTCGGTGGAGACGGGTCCCTGCTTCTCTAGGAAAAAGCAGCCCAAACCCAGAATCAGCTGTGGGGCGTGAAGAACGGCCAAATGGGCCTTCCCCGGCCTGGGTGGGGCTTTCTCAAAGCCGTCTCCATACCCGACAGCTAAAAACAGTTCAGTTCTAGTCAATAGCAAAATACGGTGGCAGCATTTTGATAGGCCACCTCTGTCTGATAAGCCAAGGAGGAAAAATACCAACAGCAGAACTCTGCCTTGATCTGTTTTGAAAACATACATCTAGTAGGATAGGCCATCTTGGGTTTCTCTTTGAGGGAGCTGTGCATTTAAGAACGCTTTGTTGCGCCCCTCCACCGCCCTACAGCTGGGCTTTGTCCGGGCCGCTGAGCCCGCAGGCGCCCTCGGGCCCGCGGCTGCTCTCGGCGGAGGAGGAGGAGGAGGAGGAGGAGGAGGCGGCGGCAGCGAAGGCCAGGGCAGCCGAGTTGATGCAGTATCTTTTGCCGGTGGGGCGAGGTCCATCGTCAAAGATGTGGCCCAGGTGAGCGCCGCACTGAAAGAGAAGAGCGCACAGGTGAGGGCCCAGCACGCCCGAGCTGGCTGCCAGCGGGGCTCCGGGCGGGTGAGCGGCACGCTGGGAGGAAGAAACCGGAATCGTGCCTATCAGAAATCATTTAGCAGCCACTGGATTTCTTGACCTGCGAAGTCTCGCAGCTAGTTGAAAAATGACTGCAGTCATTTTACGAATTGAGTTGACCCTTGATCCCCCCTCGTAAGAAACATGGCAGAAAATAAAATCCACCCCCTACCACCCCCACCACCTCGCCCCCGCGTTACTTCCGGCTGTGGATGGGTGGGTTTCAGATACGCAGAAGTCCACTGTGAAAGCTACTGCGAACGGGCCATGGCCGAGGTGGTGTTTGCTTTCACCAGGGCAGCAGCGAAACCTAACGTCGGACAAGCTCCGGATATGCTCTTGGAGTCCAGCAGGGCAATGGGAAGGCTCGATAGCGTTAGGTCAAGGTCACCAGGGCGGATGCAGCAAATGGAAACGTCCCACCCAACCCTGCATTCGGGCTTCCAGTAGGTGGAGAGCCAGGCTTGCTTCTTCGCCTAGATGAACTATAACTTGTGGAGAGGAATAAAGTGTTCAGCTAAACGCCATGCTACCAACTCTGTCGAGGGCGGAAAACGGGCCCAGAGTTCAAATATGGTAGAAAGCGGGGTGGGGGTGATGGTCTTTAAGAGACATCCCACCCCGAGAAATGTTCTCCAGCAATGCTGGCTCACTGACTACAGCCCCGTACTGACTGCTCCGGTGCTTGGAATGGCCCCTGGAGACGAGATGATGGCCCCTGTCACACTCCTACCCTCTCAGCAGGGGCCGGTGAATGGAATGGAATCGCCGTGCAGGGCATTCAGAAAGGCTGCGTGAAAGCACATTCATTCATAACCAACACAGCAACCACTGCCTGCTTCCATTCGCTCGTTTAGCAAATATTTCTGTATGTTCTGCTACAGAACTCGGGGACTGTGCTAGACTCCTGTGATTCAGGCACTCTCTGGCCTTCCAGCGCTTACCATCTAGTGAAAGAGATACGGGCAGTATGCCAGAAAACAGGCAAACTGTACAGTATGCTACCAATAAACACCAAACTGCAAAGCATGCTATAGGCAAAAGCAAGAATACAAAAGGGAGACTGTATAGGATTGGTGGTTGACCTTTTAGACAGGTGGCCAGGAGAGGCCTTACTTTGGAACAAGGACCAGAAGGAAGTGCAGGTATAGATATAGGAAGACGGCATTCCATGCCCACGGAAGAGTCCAGATCTGAGACCCGAGACATTGTATGAGCGCTAGTGAAAAAATGTAACTACTGCGGTTTCACTTCCTACATGCATGGGTTTATTCCAAACCCATGCGATCAGCGGATGACTGCAGACTTCAGTTCTCTCAGTAATGCACGTGCCTTCATCTCATTAGGGTGTCCACGGGGAAAAAAGGGGATTCTGAGGTCAAAGCTAATAGCAATTTCTTAACCAAACTCAAATGGACATCCTCTCAAATCATTGAGGTTTTTTTCTCATCAAGTTGACAAGTTTTGCAACAAATTTACATAATAAACAACAGTTTCTAGATGTGTCAAGCCTTGTAATGAAGGTCAGGAAGATATCCAAAAAGGGCCAGCAAAGAGAGAATTGTCACCCTCAGTGAATGGCGAAACTGTGGCTGAAGTCCAGACACTGGTGGAAGAAGACCACAGAATGACCAATAGTTCTGAGGCTGGGATTTCACAGGCTTTGATATTTTCAACGTCTGAGAAAGCCTCTTGGCCTCAACCAGCTTTCTGTTCATGGCTGCCACGAAAGACGCACAAAGATGGGCTAGCCTAAAGAGCGGCCTTTCGCTCAGTGTGGTCAGCAAGACGGACGCTGCTGAAGATGATTTTATTGAATGAGTCTTGGATTTACCCATATGATCAAGAGAACAAGGACCAACCAAAAGAGTGGCTTCCCAGGGGATCTGCTAGATCAAGTTCAAGGCAGAGAGGTCACCACAGAAGGTTATGATGACCATTTTCTGAAATTCTCAAGGGTCGACTTGATAGATTTTCTTGAAGGACACAAGGTGATCCTGGTGACTTATTAGAAAGAAGTTTTACAAAAAATTGAGAACCGCCAGGCAAAGAGACAAAGTCAATAAAGCAGCATTAAGGATTTTCCTCCTTATCACAGTAATGCACTGGGTCATTCTTTCAAGGTAGCAAAGGCAGTCCTGTGATAATTTTGTGGGAAAACCTTACCCCATCCACCCTCCAGTCCTGGTCCTGCCCCTTCAGACATCTTTCTGTTCCCCAAACTCAAGAACATTGGCAGAAACACGATTTGAACCCTTGGAGGGTGTCTACACTGCCATCTGAGTGGTGTGGATCCAAGTGCACAGGATTCTGTGGGGGATGGGCCACAGCGATGGAAACACCACGGCCAGAAATGTACCACCTGGAGGTCAGGCTGAGAAAAACGAGTTTCACATTTTGATATGTTTGTTTCATAAAGTTTCAATACTTTTTGACGTAAGCTCATGGGTGACATTTCTCACATAAAGCATGCATTATGGGAACATAAACTAGGACTTGATGAACTGATCATGAAGCTAAGAAACCAAATGGCGACAGTGAGAGAGGAAGGGTACTCGCTGAGAGGGGCAGAAGCAGAAACTCAGTTTCCCAACTGAAAATTTAAAACACATCTAGTTATTATTAAATAGCACAAATAACACTTCCATGTTAAAAGTACATCCTTTTTTTACTGCCAACTGTGTCAGCTTCTTAAGAACCAAAAATGAACCCTGAACTGATTTGATCTATTGCAAACTTGCATGGTTTTACCAGTTTACGCAGGTTTAAGTAATATGAAGGCTGACGAGCTCAGATGGCTCTGCCCTTATGTCAGCGGTTCTCAACCTGTGGGTTGCGACCCCTTTGGGGGTCAAATGACCCTTTCACAGGGGTCACCCAGCTCATAACAGTAGCAAAATGACAGTTATGAAGTAGCAACGAAAAAAAATTATATGGTTGGGGGGTCACCACAACATGAGGAACTGTATTAAAGGGTCGCGGCATTAGGAAGATTGAGAACCACTGCTTTATACAAACAAGTAAGGCCAAGTTTTCAGGCATCATCAGCTAGGATGCACCGGTCAAAATGCATATGCTTACCCAAGGGGACACAGGTCACACCCATTTCTGCCAGCCAGGTCAGTGTGTAGGCACCAACAGGAGCTCGCGCTCAAGGGTAAACTGTGTGTGCGCCTCACTGATCTCACGCACAGCCTTGGCCCTTTGATCACTTGGCATCTGAGAGGTGAGGTTTTCACATTAGAGCCTCAGATGAGTATTTAAAACAAACAAACAAACAAAAATGAATTCAGCTAGCTAGGCAAACATACATTAACACTGTCATTATTACTCATCTTGAGCATGTTTGGAAACCACTCCGATTGACAATTCTCCAAAGATAAAGCATAATTATAAAATAAATGAAGCCATTTAAGAATAAGTTACATGTATCAGAAAGACCAGCCCTTACTGGTCCAGCAGAGACTTGGGGAAGCCCAGAGTCTACGGCCTTTATACATCCTTCAAGGCTGGGACAGACCCATTCCCAGGGACCAACTTTCAACCAGAGACCAGGGAAGAATGTATCAAGCACATGCGACTGAAACACAAACATTTGCCCAGAACCAAAGCTCAAAGGCAGGAAAGAGGAGGAAAAGGGGATGAACTGAAACAAGGAGGCCACAGAAGAAGTGGGGAAAGTGCTGGTGCATTGAAGGAATTGCAACTAAAGCCACAAAACATAAAGTGTATCAACTGTTGGACTGGAAACTAATATGGTCTGCAAACGTTTACCCTATAACTATGCCGTGAGGCTGGCACAGAACTCGGCCGTGTTCCGTTCTGTTGTACATAGGGTCACTATGGGTCAGGACCAACACCAATGCACCTAACAACATACTCATATATACGTATGTCTGTATGCACATATATATGTATACATGTGTGTGTGAGGTAAATGGTCTCATTTCCCAAATTATTTTGGTTTAAAAATCCTAAATAGAGCAATCTAATGTGTTAAACCGAATTCATTTTGGGTCCATTTGTTTCATTTGTTAACTTGTAATTAGGCTTTCTGGTTCAACATAAAGAAAAACAACGATTGTAAGAATGTCCTATTCCAGGTAAAATGAAAAAGTTAAGAAATAATATTATAGATAGATAAAGGTAGCAAACTTCATTGCACACAGATATTTCGGCTGGGACTGGGCTCGTGAAATCCTCGCAGGAAGTGAGCTCCTGAGGAGCTCGCGATGGCTCCTTGAGTAAGGTGACCAGATTTAAAGTGGGACATCATTGATGGGGGGGGGGGTGTTCTTGATTAAAAATTTGGTCTATAGGACCAAATAGACCATTCCCTACCTTGTTATGCATTCTTTCCAAAAATCGGGACTTTTTTAAAACGCCAAAAGCGGGACGTCTGGTCACCTTATCCTTGAGGCCTGTTCCCAGCAAGCCTGGATCACAGAGGAGGGATGGTCATTTCACACCAGAGGGAGCTGCTGCTGTGTAGCTGTGCCACCACGCGCGCTCGCCCATCCTCTTGCCGGCATCTCTGCAGGGCCCTCTCTCTGAAGGAAAGCCTACTGAGGT